GAGAGAGAGTTGTTCCCTTTCGATATTTCACTCGTACTCTGTCACTAGACGGTATGGGAAAAAGTCATTTTTTCTCCGATACCGAAGCCTCTTTTAATAACGCAGTGTAACTGCACGGCGATTGGTTCGTGCAGTGAAATAAAAACGAACCAATGGCGAGTTAGCGGAGCTGCACGAGCCTATGGCCACGAAGCCTGCCAAAGCCAATATGGGCGGGCCATCTGGCTATATAAGCAGGAATTCTGGCATAGGATCCTCAGATTTCTTCTCCTACAGCAACGACCATGATCTTTGCTCTATGAGACTCGAAGCCTGCGCCGCTGACAAGCCTCGCAGAGGATCAAGACCTCTCTGCTCGGTTGATTCACTGCTCCCGCGAGCCGCCTTCAGCATTCCCCTACCACCATCCGGCGAGTTTTAAAAGAGCAAGTTATTTTTTGCCGTTGCTGCAAATGCCACGCCGTTACTGCTGCTGACGGTCATGGTGAGTGCGTTTCGTGCCTGGGGAAATCCCACGCAGAAGCCACGCTCACAGAGACAGAGTGTAGCCACTGCGGGAACATGAATCTGGCCTCTCTGCACTCGCAGATAGCTTTCTTTTCAGAAAGCGACTCCTCCCCTCGCACCCTCCCGTTTTCTTCCTCCCAGGAACCTGTGAGGAAAAAACAGCGGGGCAGAGGACCTCAGCGCCCGGAGATGAGACCCCTCTGGCCTCTCAATGGGAGCCTGCAGGCCTCTCAATGGGAGCCTGCAGACCTCCCCGAGAGCGTTTTAAATACAATTTCTCAGGATAGAGCCCCATCTACGAGATGTCTCTATGCCCATAAATGGTCGGTCTTCTCCTCCTGGTGTACAGCCCGTGGCAAAGACCCAGTTTCCTGTGACATATCGTTTATATTGTCCTTCCTCCAAGAGTTCCTGGATAAGGGTCGTTCCCCTTCCCTCCCTTTGAGCTGCTACAGTCAACTGACCTTCAGCTCCTGTCACTGAAAATCACTCTGCTACTGGCTTTAGCATCAGTCAAGCCATTGTGAGCCATTTCTGCCTTAAGTTCGGGCCCAGCGACTCTAAGGTCATCCTGAAGCCAAGGCATGGTTATGTTCCTAAAGTGCTCTCCACTCCATTCAGAGCACAGGTCATTACATTCTCTGCACTTCCTCCCTCCGAGGAGGACCAAGAGTTGTATTTACTCTGCCCCGTCAGGGCACAGAGAATTTACATTGAACGCTCTGCCTTCTTTAGGCATGCGGAACAGCTGTTTGTTTGCTTCGGTGGCCACACCATCCGGTCACGAAGCAGAGACTTTCCCGGTGGATAGTTGACGTTATTACTAGTGGTCGACCGATATTGGTTTTTTGACAGCCGATGCCGATGGTGAAGCTGAACTCTCCTCCTGTCCGCATTCCATTCGCAGGGACCGACCGTCACGCAGAGAACACGCGATCATGCAGGATACAAATGTACACTTCACAAGATCTCACAACTGGATCCGACTAAGTTTGCAAGCTTTGTGAAATTAAATGTTCATTAGTCATTCAAAGATTTGTTTAAATTAAATAAATGTGTATTTGCTGAATGCTGACGGCAAACAAGAAAGTATTATAATGTTTGCCTTTCTATTACTAATAATATAAAAGCAATCGTTATAACATTTTTTGTATACATTTTAATTCCTTTGTTTAACCATTCTATCTGATTATTAGACAGACTTCTATCCGTATTAGACAGAGCTGTTAACGACAACGGCGAACAAGAGGGAGAATGTGAGCACTGAATAAAAGTCCGTCGCGCTGTCAAAATCAAAGTCCCACCTCGAACGCATCGGCCAAACAGAAAAACTTATCAGCCGATGCCGATATTTAAAAAATGCCAAATACCGGCCGATATATCGGCCTTGGTGATATATCGGTTGACCACTAGTTATTACGCTAGCATACTATTCCTTGGGCCCGCAATGCCCCATTGGATTACGAGCCCACTCCACCAGAGGTGTGACTTCTTCTTGGGCTTGGTCTAGCGGTGTGTCTATCGCAGAAATCTCTGCAGCGGCTGGCTGGGCCTCACCGTCCACATTTGCTAGGTTTTACAACCTGGACATCCCTGCCTTACAGGCTAGGGTCTTTTCTGCATAGTTGGCACGTACCTGCCAGAAGGTCGGATTAGCTCTGAGTAGGGTTTGGCCATAACACGCTCAAACTCGCTAGAATTGCTTTACTTCTTGTACGCTCTCGGCCCTCCCTAAGTGCCGATGCTGTACAAGTTTTTTATGGAACGATTACCCAGGCTGGGTGTGACCTCTGTGAGTTTAGCCCGTTTGCCACATGAAAGGCTTACCCTATTATATTTGTCCCTCTGAGCCCCTTGGGTGCCTAAGGTAAGTTCACATATCAGTCGTTCCTCTCCATAGCACGGCGTGGTCGTACTGGTTGAGTGAAGTATCGAAAGGGAACGTACTCAGTTACTAACGTAACCTCGGTTCCCTGAGATACGGAAACGAGTACTGCGTTGCTAGCCATGCTATGGAGCTGCACGACTCAGTGTCGTCGCTTCAGTCGAAGTAATCTGAGGATCCTATGCCAGAATGCCCGCTTATATAGTCAGATGGCCCTGCACATATTCGGGCTCTGGCGGGCTTCGTGGCCATAGGCTCATGCAGCTCCGCTGACTCACCATTGGTTCATTTTTATTTTGACTGCATGAACCAATGGCCATGCAGTTACACTGCGTTATTAAAAAAGGCTTCAGTATTGGAGAAAAAAGGACTTTTCCCATGGCGACGCAGTACTCCTACCTCTCAGGGAACATCTCCGTTACGTATCGTAGCTCTCGTTCCCTGAAGGAGGGAACGGAGACGTCACATCAGTGACTGAAAAATTGGGAATCTCGCCAGGGAGACCAATCTACTTCGAGTGGCATGCGATTATTGCATCCAGATTCCGCTAATAGCAGCGCGAGTATAAATAGGCAGCAGATGCACCGCATACTCAGGTTTTCACTGAGGAGCTGAGCCAGTGACCCGGCTGCTCAGCGGTGGTACCTATACCGTGGACTTTACACATATGGG